CGGGGCGGCATCTTGCTGGGTGGCGGAGGTGGAGACGGCAGGGTCCCCTGGCTAAACCCCGTCATCGAGGGAAGGAGGAGTTAAAATTCCCCTGCCTTTTAATCCAGTCGCGCTGGTTTACCTACAAAGCCAAGGCAGCAGCTTCCTTCGTGTACGGCCGCCGTTCCCCGGTTCCCCGGCACATCATGCCCCGCCGTCACGTCGTGCAGATGTCCACCAGCCACGCCAGCTACAGTGTCTGCGTGGTGGGTACCGAGGTCTTCCTCGATACGCGCCGGTAAGGCTCGGTGTCGGGATATCCTCGGCGTTTGGGTTTTGGGGGAGCCCAACGGTGGTTTTGCTCTTTGGAAGAGAAATTGGGGGCTGGAGGGGAAAGCAGAGCTGGTTTTGAGCCCGCATCATGAGTTTGTCCAAAAAATCCTTGGATTTCTTATTCGGGGCGGGCAGGACGCGTCCCGCTGGGGCTGGTTTAGGGATGTCCCCTGGGGAGCTGCGCCCAAAGGAGGGACATCGGCTCCAGCAAACGCGAGGCGTCGAAGCGTAGCCGAGCCATGACGGTTTGCAGGCAAAGCCCATGCACACCCCAGTTGAGCGGGATCTATTTCTGGCTGTGAAAACATGAGGCAAGAGCAATTCAAGATGAGCAACTTGGCCGGAGCTGAAATGGGGAAAAGAATAAAACGCGTGGCTCGGACAGAAAAAAAATCCACCAGTGGGTTTGCCTGGGCAATTTGTCAGGAAGAGATCGTCCCAGCATTAAATAGGGGGGTTGCTTTATTGGCCAGATACGAGGCTGTATTTACCCTGCTCTTACCTTGTCATTATTTAATAAATTAGGTTTATAATGATAGAGACTACAGGATGAGCCAGTCAGCATCGCATCAGGGCAATTATTGGGATTTGTATGCTGGAGCTGGGCCAGGATGTGATGTTTTCCCCCTCTGGGGGCATCAGCTTGAGCTTTAGCTGCCCTGGCAGAGGATTGCTTTTCCTCTCAGCCAGATGGGGAATATGCAAAACCTATCATTTGCAATTTTTTTTTTTTAGTAGATTTGGACTCAAAGCAAGCTCAGTCCCCTTTAAACCTGGAGCCTGAGCTCCGAAATGGGCTGATTTGGCTCTTTGGTAGCAAATTTGAGCTTTGATCCAAAAAAGCAGACAGCGGATGCTCTTTCAACTTAAAAAAAAAGAGATAATTTTGTTCCTGGAGAGCGCTTGCCAGGAGGAACTCGGTGATGGACGCATCGAGCTTTTACTGTGGTTTTGCGCTATTTTGAGGCATAAAATGACTCGCAGTGGGAATCCGGTGATGATGCTGAGGTGTGAGAGCTGTAAAATCCGGGCAGATAGACCCAGATTTGTGAAGTCAAGGTGTGCGAGAGCGCGCAGGTGGTTTTACAACGTTGCGCGATGTTAAATACGAGGGGTGACGAGCGAGATGACGCTTTAATCTCCCCTTACAAGCTGCTGCAGGTGCCAGGGCTGCCATGCCAAGAACAACCCAGGGAGTAAATCTCCTTTGCGTTTTGGGTTGGGTTTTTTTGTTTGAGTGGTGTTTTTTTTTTGTCATTCTCACCGTTCAAACTTACCACCCCGGCCCCTTTCTTGTGCGGCGCGGGAGGCAGACAGGTCGGAGCACTCGTGCTCCTGGGACGGAGGTGCTGGGGCTGTAATGAGCGGGTAGGCAGCACTTCAAAGGCCAAGGATGTCATGCAAGGTGGGGTGAGGATTCTCCGCGCTCGGATTCAGGCACCTCTTCAGTCCGGGCATCTCTTGGGTCAGGGTATGGTCCCTGTGACAACTCCCTCCCCGGATGGCCAACATCCAAAATTGGTTGGGCTCTTTGCTGGGGTTTTGTCCTGGGATGCTGAAATTTTGGGGGGGTTTCTTGCCCTTGTGGTGGGAGGTTGGATGCCCAAACTTCAGTGATTTGCAACGTAGGCTTAACCACGGACGGACGTGCCGAAGCCCTGGTGGAAGCTCCGCTTGCTCAACACCACCACAGAGATAATACGTATAAAATTCAGACGACGCATTTCATCACCCGAAGATGGTTTCTGAGTCTTTTCCATCCAGTTCAGGCTGGATTTTAATTCCAGGTTCAAGTATTTGGCTCCGCAGAGGAGAACAGGAGGGACAACTTGGTTTATAACTCAACGCTGCTCTCTGTTTCAGATCTACCCCCAAAGGTGCCACGTCATTTGATGTGCATGCCACCTCCGCGGTTACGGTCCACATCATCCACAGCCCCACAACAAAACCCATGATTAACTCCAGGTGGCCCCTGGATCCAGATATAGAGGTTGTCGTGACCATTGATGTCACCAGCAAGACCGTCAATGACAATAAGGTTGGTTGCTCTTTAGGCACCATCAAGCTTTCTAGGGAAGAGAGGAGGATTATGGGCAGGCTTGAGCATTGCTAAGCAATGCTGGCATCAGACTTATTTCCATGGAGAAAGCTCAAAAACGAATTGTGTAATTACAGCGTATGAAAAACGAAACTCAAAAGGAGAAGGACAGCACATCTTTTGCCCGAAAAGATGGGACAGCTGTCATTGCAAAAGCCAGAAACTCGGTGCCAGATGACAAAAATCCTGCAACCTTGGCTTTATTCCTGCCTGTTTTTGTGATGAAGCAGGCAAAAATGTTTCAGCTGAACTATGATTAATGGAGAATGGCTTGGGTGAACCCTTCGAGAGCTTGTTGTGTAGCGTTGGTTGGTCAACTCAATGAGTGGGAAGACCTACTCAGCGGGACTCGCGTGGTGATCTGGTGATGTCTTTGCAGGTTAAGATTGCGTACTACGGACAGGAAGGCAACGAGCTTTCAGTGGCTTGGTTGTACCTCACCTGCGTAGGTAGGTGTTACAGCAACACAACCCCATTACCCATCTGGTTGGGTTCACGGGACGGGAGTTGAGCGAGGGGCGCGGGCTGCCCATCCGCAGCGTGCGATCGAGGGTTGGGTGTTGGCTGATGCCGACAAGCAAGAGGGAAACAATTAAAATGTTATTAGGCTGCCTTTTATGGTGCAAAAAAGACACAGGCTTGTGTCCCCACCCAACACGCACACCGAGCATCCTCCTCCGCTTGCCAAGACTGTTGTGTTGGCAGAAGAGGAGCCAAAGGAGACCATCTCGTCTAACTTCAGCCCATGTCCCCCTCCTCATCCTCCGTTGCGGCTGGTGGGGAGGAACAGGCACCCAAGTGTAGCTGCCTGACCTATTTTAGAAGTTTAGGATGAGATGAATCATTCCCTTGAAATGCCTATTTTCCTCTGCTGACTACAAAGGGAGTCTAGACAACCGGTCTGGATGCAGAGCCTTCCACTTGGATGGATTAATTACCCTAAATTTGGGATTTTCTCAAGCACTCGCATGACAGGCAGACCTGTGTCCTTAAGTCGTGCATATGCCTCCCCAAAATTACACCTGATGATTTCCCACATCCCATGACTGATGGGATTCGCTGGGGCCACCAGCGTCCACAGGGCTTCACTTGCTCGGGTTTAGAGCTTCCAGCTTGCCCATGTGCCCCTCTCTCTGCATCAAGAAGGACAATCTCTGCTTTCATGCCTGTTTTCCACGCGCCGTAGATCCCGTTCGGAGGAGTTTCTCTCTTAAGATAGACTTAATACAAACTTAAGTAGGGTTTAGATCGGGTCGCTGGGAAACCTCCGCTTTATTGCGTCGGAGGCAGAGATCTGGACCAAGAAGAGCTCAGTGAGGGAAAGTCCTCACTGTCATGTCAGTTATTTAGGCGTCTACTTGCGCACTTTTGTGCCTCTACTGTGTTTGAGCTTCACAAAAGGTGCTACAGTCGACATAAAATTGGTGGAGCCACAAAATACGCCGTGAAGCGGGAATATAAAATCGGTGAAAACACAAAGCACGCCGTGAAGTGGGAATATAAAATCGGTGAAAACACGAAACACGCCGTGAAGTGGGTACATCCCTTCCCGAGGAACCGAGATAAGAGAAGACGGCTGAAGATCAAAGGGGGAAAGCCGTGCGAAATCTGTCCAGTTGGCTTTTCTGTTGGTGTTTTGTTGGAGAGGTTGGGTCTGGAGCAACTTTGAGGTGTGAAGGCGGGGTTGGTGTTGGCTGACTCATGCTGAGGACGAGCACAAAATACCACAGAGAGCTAGTTTCCCTGCCAGGTGACATCTTTTTCTCTCTTGGTCTTGCAGATATAGCCCTGGACGTGGACTTGGGCCGTAATGGCAGAGTGAAGAGCAAAGGGAAGGACAAGGTAACGCGTTTTGCCGTAGGCGATGTATGGTGGGTCAAGGCAGGCTGCAGCTCTTTGCAGTCTCTTCCTTGAAAATCTCTGGAAGGGAGAGGGACTTGGGTGGCGTTGCTGGTGTCTGAACTAGAGAAAATAACATTCAAATTCTCAGCCTACTAATCAAGGAGGACAAGGCTTTATTTTCTTATTCCATGCCAAAATTTCCTGCCTCTCCAGTCTGGCCTCAAGAATCATACAGGAGAAAATACTCTGCTTTCTCTTCTCTTCTCTTCTCTTCTCTTCTCTTCTCTTCTCTTCTCTTCTCTTCTCTTCTCTTCTCTTCTCTTCTCTTCTCTTCTCTTCTCTTCTCTTCTCTTCTCTTCTCTTCTCTTCTCTTCTCTTCTCTTCTCTTCTCTTCTCTTCTCTTCTCTTCTCTTCTCTTCTCTTCTCTTCTCTTCTCTTCTCTTCTCTTCTCTTCTCTTCTCTTCTCTTCTCTTCTCTTCTCTTCTCTTCTCTTCTCTTCTCTTCTCTTCTCTTCTCTTCTCTTCTCTTCTCTTCTCTTCTCTTCTCTTCTCTTCTCTTCTCTTCTCTTCTCTTCTCTTCTCTTCTCTTCTCTTCTCTTCTCTTCTCTTCTCTTCTCTTCTCTTCTCTTCTCTTCTCTTCTCTTCTCTTCTCTTCTCTTCTCTTCTCTTCTCTTCTCTTCTCTTCTCTTCTCTTCTCTTCTCTTCTCTTCTCTTCTCTTCTCTTCTCTTCTCTTCTCTTCTCTTCTCTTCTCTTCTCTTCTCTTCTCTTCTCTTCTCTTCTCTTCTCTTCTCTTCTCTTCTCTTCTCTTCTTCCCTTCCCTTCCCTTCCCTTCCCTTCCCTTCCCTTCCCTTTTTTTGGATTTGAAACATGCCTCTAAATGAGTCAGCTGCAAGTTTTGCAAACGGCAAGAGATTTACCCTTTGGCAACAAATCTGCATATGCCCAAGCACTTACACCTGGGTAATTAGTTGCAGCCTGATCAGCAGCAACAGATCGTACGTGGAGATGAGGTGCATTTCTAGAAATGGTGTTTCTATTGTCCACATGAGGCCTTACAGATGCTTTCTGGCTTGTTAGAAGATAAGATTTGTTTAAAATAGTCTTTGCTGACCCTGCTAGAAACTGAGGTTGGGAAACCTGATGGCTCGAAAGCATCACTGCTGTCTCCCCATCAGCCATGTTGCGAGTTGACCTCCAAGCGTAGCCACAGTGGTGGGGTTTTCCCTGCTCTGGGAGGAGGCTGGGACAGGGGGAAATTTCGCTCCCATCCCTTTTGGGTGTTTCTCCTCCAGGCCAAGTGGACGTGGGGTCCGGATGGGCAAGGCGCCGTGCTGCTGGTCAACTGCGACCGCGACAGCCCCGGCGCGGGGGGCACAGACAGCGGTCAGGTGGACATACGGACCCCTGCAGGTAAGGTGTCCTCTGCAGCACGAGGGGACCCAAAAAAGATCTCACCGGGGTGTTTCCCTCTTTTGATGCCTCCATCCCTTCTCTCTGCGTACCC